AAGAAGAGGAGTGTACTCAGACAAGGTTACACCCATAGAAACAAATTTCTTTCATTTGAAACAAATTTCTTTTATTGACACTACATAATAACATTTGTAACCCTTTTTAGAAGACGAATAACCAACAAATATACATTTTACAAATTTGGGATCCAACTTTGTATGGTACGGGACCAAGAACACGAGTAAAGCAAACACAACCAAAGACATTAGGGGGAACACTTAATACTAGATGATGTAAGAGTAGTTTATAAGGAGATTTGTACTCTTTTGAATACAAGATGGCATCCTATTGATAAGATAAGATGCAATGCGCACAACTCCAGACTAGAATTTCTTGGGTATGTTCATGCTCAAGGGAAGGGTACGACCAACCTCTATTAGGTGTCTCTTCTTTCTTTCAGCCTTACCATGTGGTTGTGGTGTATGAGCAAGAATTGTGATGTTCAAACTCTCCTTTGCAGTATTCCCCACCTTGATTAGATCTAACTACCTTAATTTTAGTGTCAAATTAAGCATGGATCATCTTATGAAAGACCTTGTAGAAAGGAGCTTCATCTTTAGTCTCCATAAGTTAAATCCTGGTATATATCGAGAGTAGTTGTCTACAAAAGTTAACAAATAAAGATAGCAAAAAATAGATTTAACACAAGAGGGATCCCAAACATTAGAATGAATAATTGAAAAAGTAGAAGTGTTATTATTATTATTGCGGAGAAAAGAGTTTCTACAATATTTTGACAATTCACAAACCTTAAATTGAACTTCTGACACACTGGTTGAAATAAACAACTTAGGAAACAAAGCTTCCAATGATTGAAAAGATAAATGACCAAGTCAAACATGCCACTACCGAATCCAATATTATCAGCACTAGTGCTAGACTGAAGGGCTTGAGGTTGTTGCCTAGTCTAGAATGTGGAGACCACCAGCTCATGACCACTGCCAATTGTCTTCCTCATATCCGAGTCCTGAAAAACTTACTGGGAAGGATAGAAGATTATACTGCAATTTAGACTCGTGGTAATGCTACCGCCAAACTTTAAGTTTGCGGAGAACTATGAAGAATTGATGACAATGACATTTGAGGAGAAATATTTATACTTCCATTGACATTTGAGGAGAAATATTTATACTTCCTTTTCCAGCAATAGATGAAAAAGATCCATATGCAATCCTAACTTTATCTTTACCAAAACAAAGGATATGAGAAGAACTAAAGAAAACGTACCAGTCATGTCACTTGAGGCTCTTGATTCAATAATTTAGGATTGTTTAGATTGAGTAAGAGAGACATGACGAGGAGAAGTATGAATAACTGAGTGTCCAAATGATGAAGTAGAAGGGGTGGAAGTGTCATCTAATTGAGCAAAGAACCAGTGAATCTTTCGATCTTCTATTTAGGAACTGATATCATCTCCTTTAGAGCAGAAATTATAGATTGGATTGTATTGCATAACGGTTGCTCAGTACTACAGCTAAACCCTGAGTGATTGAAGCATTATGAACATTAAACTAACATAGATGTTTGAATTTATCTAGCTAGCCAATTAGATTCTAGCAAGTTTCTTTAAAATACGACGATTCTCCCACAATGATCACGTGTCAACTATTCTCTAAAAAAAAAAAAACGATCATGTGTCAACTAGCTTTATCTCCTAGATTGAGACCTCCTTTTCTAAATTTTCAAGGTCCACCTCCCTTATTGTTCTTAGGGGGTAATCAGGTTGAGGCAAGAGCAGAATGAGTAGGCAACATTGACATTTTTTCCTCACTTTGGACAAAGGAGTACATCTGGTTGAGGGATGGAAGTTCATCCATATTAAGTATTTGAATTCTAGCCAACTCAAACTCAGGGTTCAATCCAACTAAGAACTCAAAAAGTACGATTTTGTTTCATAATTTGCTTATATTTCTCCCCATATTCCATACAAGCTAGATTAAACAACTGTTAGTGTTCAACTCCTCCCACATGCTATGGAATAAGGAGAAATATGCTGCAAGAGACCTCTTCTCCTTTCGAAGATGAGAAATTTCTTGTTTCGATACACTCAAGCCATGTTTGCTTTTAGAGTAAGTTTGGTATACAGAGTCCCAAATCTCTATCGTAATCTGAAGGAGCAAGAAGCCCTCACTAACTGATGGTTGGTTGGATTTTTAGTATCCTAATTCTCATTTGAGATATCTATTTCATCAGGTTCAATGATCTTGCCTTTGTTGACCACTTTAAACAATTGTCCAATGAATTTGATGGTTGTAACCTAAAGTCCATGGCTACTCCATGGATACCTGTATGGGAGATTACACCTAGAGTACTAGAGATAGTAGGAGTGGTCTGAATCATGAATACCAGATATCTTGACCATCATATTGGTCGTACATACCAAGAAAACACACTTATCAACACTATCAGCAACTCAAAAGTCACTTCCCACATGGGCTGGAGACCATCCGTGCAAGAGATCTTGGTAATAAATGAGTCCCACAACACAAAGACAAGGGTGTGACATATTTAAGGGGTCCAACAACATCTTTTAACATTACCGGATCATCCAGATCTAGGGTTTTTAATTCAACATCAAGATCTTGAAGAAGGGTAAAAAGCAACTATGAACTCAAGGTTTTACATTCCATACCTGTTTGTCAAATTTGGGGTTTCTGACTATATGGCCGATGGACACGCTCTCACAACCAGATCACATTGTTAGCGTTTCAAGAAACATTGCCAAGTCTCCTGCTCTATCCCAAGTTAAGATATGCAACATGTAACAAAGGAAAAATAGAAGAGAATGAGAGAGAAGAAGATCTAGAGAGAGGAAGGAAGAGGTTTAGAGAGACAAGGAGAGCCACATTGAGAGAAGGAAGGGAGTGAGGCAGTCACCTTTGGTTACTCACAGCCACATACTCCCACTTCTATTGTATATATGATTATATTTGTACTATTGTACAATCACCCTTAAGTAAGGAAAAAGATAATAAAGTCCTTGGGGACTTCCATCATTAAAAAGAAGCATATGCATATTCAGTACAATATATTGCACCTGTTGAGCACCCTATTGCTGTACAGAGAATCTTGACAAATAGGGTACTAATGTTATTCCCCACTTCATATTAGATGCCCTCGGAAGAAGTAAGAAATATGGCTTCTAAGGTACTCAGCTGGAAGAACAAGTCCTTTGCCTTCCCATCCATGAGTTTCTTCTTGAATAAGGCAACCAAAAAATGTAGTTTCCTTGTCCCTCAGAGGCAGTACATTGTTGGGTCCCTTTGTTATGTACTAGATGTATGAGTTATGGGAATCAAGCATCACACTAAGTATAGATCTAGAAACACAGCCTACTATCCTTACGCATCCTAAAACTAGCTGCTTGTCCTAATCTACCTCAGTTTATGCATCTATTGATATCTGGGGTCAATGTTTAGAAACCAGAACCAGACATACTATAGGTTCCCTGTTATTCTATTGGGAACCTCCTCTCACCATCTACAAACGAAGGCTCTCCTTGTCTTCCAAAACCAAAAAAATCACAGGCTTTCCTCTCCAGGTATCCACCTTGCATTATTATTCTACCTTGTTCTTCCCTGAAGGATTGCAGTACAAGCTATTTGTAGGATCCACCATTGACCACTGTAACTATGCCACACATCATGTCGGTAAGATTCAACTGGTTCATCAATAATTCCATGCACAAAAAAGAGCCATGGGAATATTTTCACGAACAAACCATTGATGATCAATGATGATCCTCCTAGTTTGAATATCCGAAAGGAACCTTGTGTAGTTGGAAAAAGAGAAAGAAAGAAGGAGAGAAAAAAAAGACAATAAATGCCACCAGGCTAAACACCGAAAAAGACCCCAGGGCGTAAAAAAAAGAAAAAGAAAAAGAAAAGAAGAAAATAATGAAAAGTTATATCTCTACTTCTCTCTCAACTTCTTTGCTCTTTTCTCTCTCCGTCTCTAAGGCGTCTAGAAATTTTCTCTCTCCCTCATATCTCCAAAATGGTCTGGTATTCAAGCAATCAAGGGGTACTTGCCCAACACATCATGGAAAGGTCATTCCAAGTAAACGCAAGGGATAATGATCATGGTTGATCATTATCCCAAAAGAATTTATCATTCCACTGAACTTTTTTTTTCAGTTTGCTTGCCTTCTTTTCTACCCTAGCTGCTTGTTCAGCACTTTCTAGTAGCCCCTTAACCACCATGACACGAGGTCCTCATAGCTAGAAAAAATGCCGAGAATGTATAGTTTTAATTGGAATTGCTAAAATTAGGTTTTAGAACTGGTCTGTGTATATGTGCGCTTGCGTTGGTGTATCTACACATGCACATACACAAAAGCATGATACATGTGTGCAACATATATACATATACATGCATGCAAATGCATACATACATATACAGAAATATAAAAATTTATTGACACAAATGAAAATTCAATTTGTATGTCTGGGCAACCTTGTTTGCAGTTGTGTATTAATTGCATGTTGTATATCGTGTGGTCATTCCCTTGATATTTCAAACCCCAAAATTCCTTTCTCTACTGCCATTCGTGTCGAACCTGTGAGAGAAAGAGTAGCTATACATGTTGAACAAACATATTCAAAATATTGCAGAAATTATAGTTATGTACTTAAATTACAATTAATGATGGCTTGTCCCATATTAAACAATGATTAACATTTGCGTAAATTGGAGAATTATTGGTATTCGTATCTTACTTTTATTATGTGATGTTATAGTGTGTCTCCTCCCTATGTGAGGAAAAAAAAATGATATTGTACCTTTTAGATGCAGTATAGTTCATGTTATTTTGAATGCTCGGATGCAATATCCATGTCATGCTACATTATTTGTTATTGAGTTGAATAGTTAATATTGATATTTGTTAACATCACAAAAAGTCACCCTTTCCCCCCCCACCAACCCACCAACAAAAAGAATAAAAAATATATATCTAGAAGTCACATACCAATTGTCCTATTTTCTTGATATGCAGGCCGTTCTAAGATCTATGCTGTATGATTTTCTCCCAAATGATGTCCATATTCGGTCGAATGGAAGGATTAGAGGTGAGCATTTTATTATGTCCTTACTTCTGAATTTTTGTCCATGTGATGTTCATTACACGATAATGCATAACTTATCTAAGGAGTTTGAATCATATCTTTCTTTTAATAAGATAATATTCCATAACATAAGGATCACATTAGATCTATGAGAAATTCAGAATCAAACATGTTATCAAGATAAGTTAATCACTACCTCCAATTTTTAAGATGCCAATGAAGCTCTGAGTACATGCACAATGAAATTTTTGAGCACATGCACTTGTTTTAATGACATCCTATATTTATGATGAAACCTCTTGGAAGCTTAATGATGTGATGTCTTTTTTTTTTTTTGGTGTTATATTTTTTTAGATAGTAGAATTAGGTTTGGGTTATTTGGTTATTTGGTTTTCCTATATGTATGTGTCTTATTTTATTTTCTTATAGTAGAGAATTGCGGGGTATAGTTGGGAGTTAAATGTTAAATAGATGAAGAGCTAGGATTTATTGTGATTAGGATTTCTTAAGGAGCAAGTTAGGTTTTTTTTTTTTCTCCTTCTGTAATTATGTAAGTGCTAGACCCAAAAAATAAAAAAAGAAAAAAAAAGAAAAAGAAGAAGAAGAGAATAATTTATTTTGGGTCTTGTGAAAGGTAAAAGTATCAATTTTGGGGTGGACTCCCTTGTAGACCTTGAAATGGGGTATATCTTCTCTACCTTGTTTTTTATCTTTTATTTTTCTTATATATTTATTTATTTATTTTATTTCCTCCCTGCCCTACACCAATTGGTATCAGTGCTTGAAAGATTCATCCGTCACAATGGCAGCAAAATTCACTCCTATAATCGAGGATATATTGAATTATGGAGTGTGTGAAGCAACAGATTAAAGAGAGTAAGAATAAAGCTATGGAAGATATCCACAAACTTCAACGAGAGATTGGTTAAATTAATCAGCAAATTTAGCGATTAGAAAATATCAATTACCAAGAAGATTGTGCTTGCAATCCCATAGATCAAGCACCAATCTCACCTTAGGGATGAATCAAGGTTCTCGATCAACTTCAGAAGCCGATCCTCTATGTAATGATCAAATTTTGTGGCTAGATCCATCCGCTGAGGAACGTCCGCATGATCTCAATATCTAGTTCGATCTTCTAGAGTTTCACAATGAGCTCGAAAGATAAATCAAAATTATGATTGACATCTCAAAGTTGCACATAAAGTGTTCCATTAATTGGTTCATTGACGAAGACAAAGTGCCCAAGCAAATGGTGGGACTTTATCACCAACTATTCAAGGGCCTTTGGAGGATGTAATGAAGACAACAAACTTGAGGTCTAGCTTCTCCCAACCCTGGAGAATGATGTAATGAGATTTTAAGCCTTTTTATTGTATTATTATTTTTAGATAGTGAAATTAGGGTTTGGGGTTATTTGAGTTTCTAGTTTTCTTTTATGATGTGTATTTTTTTTATTTTGTAGAATTGAGGTCATAATTAAAAGTTAAATGTTGAATGGATGAAGGCCTAGGATTTATTGCGATTGGGATTTCTTCAGGAGCAAGTTCGGTTTTTGGGTTTTTTTCTTCTTCTATAAATATTTAAGTGTTGGAGGGAAAAAAAGAAAAGAAAAGAGGCTATATTCTATCAACTTTTATTCTTATCTTTTATTTTTATATTTTATTTTCTGTCGTCCCTACATAACTTAATTCCTTGTTTGGATTAATATCTTAGTTGGTTTATAAGCCTCATGGAAGTGACATTGACTTCATTGGTCATAGTTATCTCAGCTGAAGGAAATGGCTATCCAGGGATGAGATGTATCTTGAATCACCATTGAGATTCTATCACACTAGTCAGGAAGTGAAATTTGTATGCCCACTATGTATACTTTCTGGTAGGGGTATTTTCCATCATTTTCCGAGGAAGGATTGAAAGAGGAAAACCTCACATGGATGACATGCTATGAAGTATGGGATTTGTTTATGACAGAACTATCTCAGCCTCACCTCGATTCTCAGAAATAATATGTGATCATTTCATCATTCACCTAGTAAATAACAAATGCCCATACCACCTCTAGTTTATTTGATTCGCCCCATTAATTTACTGATGTCCTCATCAATTTTTTTTCCTTTTTATTTTCCCAACATCCAGAAGCATCTGACTATCATGTTTTGTTTGGGATGTCTTGTCATGGTCCTCGATTAGTAGATTTGGTATCATATTGAGATACATATAGAATCATTGTGTAGACTGTATTTTAAAAATTCAGTACTCTTTATCTTGTGCACATGATCCACTAAGGCTCACTCTGGGATTTATGGACGATCCCTACTGTGCATGGGCCTATGTGTGCATGTTTGACAGTTCACAAATTTAAAATTAATAAAGGCGTTGATATCATGAAGTCTAGGATGATAAATTTGTCCTAAGGTAAGGATTTGACCTCTTAAATTGGATATTGAAGTTGTTGAGGATTTGTTGAGAATGACCATAGGGACACACGCATGTGATTGAATTTAAGCAATGCAAATGTTTGTGTGATTGAGTTCATGGGAGTATAAGATAAGGTTTGAATGATTGAGTTCATGGGAGTATAACATAGGGTTAGCTCAGTGAGAATCAGATTATGACACACAACAATCTTTGGGGCTACAATTCTACAATTTTGTGTGGCATTGAAGGAGTTGCCTCTAGTTACAGACGGGAGGTAAGGCACTACTGATGTCTGATGAGATTGGAGCCGCCAGGCAGTGGAGACTTAATGTCAGTGAATACTAGCTGGGTGATTACATGTATTTTGGCAGAGAAGAGAGCATGAATGGCTGCCATGTTCTCCTCAATGGATGTCAATCTATGCAGGAGAAATTTATTTTGCATAATGATTTTGGAGTGGGGAAACTTAAGGTTGGAATGCAAATGGTTCACAAGGGGAACAAGCAAGTTCGTATATACTTGATTGGTAGTGTATATGAATCAAGGTCATTTCCTCCTTTCATTCTCATAAACCATGCATCATAAAGTCACTGCCTGTTGAAGTTTCCAACAACAAGAATTGACATAGTATGTATATGCGTGGGAGGAGACATGCTTAGTTTTTCATTAATGTATATGATTCTTTACTTATTCATTTCATTTATGCATCTTGATTTGCATGTATATTCATGATTTACAATATCTCAAGGCAAAGTGATTCCATGATTAGCTATGCATTTTTTTGTTCAGTTGTATATATTTGTTAGGTAATCCCAACAGAATAAATATGGACAAAAGAGTTGCCACCTAGAATGGTTTTGTTCTTCTTAATCTCATTCAAAGATGAGATCCTTACAGTTGGCATCAAGGACTGATGTGTGCTATGCAGGGACATCTTTCGTTTTGGGAGGAAGCAATAAAAAAGAAGAAGAAGAAGGGGGGTTTGGTGGGTTGGTGTGGGATTGGGGGAGGGGACCATAGATCCTTTGCGACTTCATAGTTATACTTGAGAAGTATCTAATGCCTTTTTTAGATGAATTTTATTCCTTTTGATTCTCCATGCTTTGGTGTAGGAATGGTTTTATATGGAATGAACCAAGGGTCATAAACTCAGCTCTAGCTCCGGCTCAGGCCCATAAGACGGTTAAACATCCAAAAAAATTCAGAACATTTGTTAAAAATAAAGGAAAAAGGTATGAATGACATTAAAAACCAAAAAAAATGGAAAAACAATATATAAAAGATGGAATTCGGAAAATAATTGATTTATAGCTGGAAACAATTCCAAAGAATCTAAAAAAAGGGGAAAATAGAAAAATCTAGCAAATGATTAAAAGGTGTAGTGGCTATGTAGAAATTATAAAAGTATAAATTCAAAACAATATCTCTTTTCTTTATTAATAATTAGAATTTCTACTTACAATTGCCATAATACAATGCAAAAATAGAAAATAAACTGACTACAATCTAGGATCTTTAATTCTTATGAATGTTTTGCCTGCGGTTACCCTCTTAGGTCGTAACACATCTCATGCTCTATGCCAAAAAAAGCAAAACATTTGTTAGAAATAAAGGAAAGAGGTATGAACGACATTAAAAACCAAAAAAAATGGAAAAACAATATACAAAAGATGGAATTTGGAAAAATATGATTTATAGCTGGAACAATTCCAAAGAATCTATAAAAAGGGGAAAATAGAAAAATCTAGCAAATGATTAAAAGGTGTAGTTATGTGGAATTGTAAAAGTATAAATTCAAATTTTTTTTTTTCTTTTCTTTATCAACAACTGGAATTTCTACTTACAATTGCCATAATACAATGCAGAAATAGAAAATAGACCGACTACATTCTAGGATCTTTAATTCTTATGAATGTTTTGCTAAGGTTAACCTCTTAGGACATAACACATCTCATGCTCTATACCAAACTGATGGCGCTTGATCCTTGGGCTTTGTTGAAACCACTGAATTAGGAAGCTCATCTGAAATGCTCTCTAGCTATGGGGCTGAGAGCATGGGCTAGGAGATTAGGATTTCACTGATCCTTTAAACTTTCGGGGCATTTCACCCTATTGACTTAGGTGGGGCATGCCACCCTAGGTTCCTATGGGTGGTGTGTGCCACCCTAGAGAGAGAGAAGAGAGAGAGAGAGAGAGAGAGAGAGAGAGAGAGTGCGAGAGAGAGAGAGAGAGGAGGAGAGCGAGAGAGAGAGAGAGAGAGAGGAGG